CCCCAAAACCCCAAAACCCCAAAACCCCAACAGAGGGTTATAAATTGAGTTTATAATAATATTTGATTTTATTCGTTATTTAAAATATCCACCTTTAAAAAATCTTATCTCATTGATTTGCTGTTAAATTCAAATGAATTTATCTTCATAGAACGAATGTTTTGAACGTAGCCAAGATTGTCACAGTACTCCTTTTCGCTTGTCTGAGAGTTATATTTTGACTCCAAGGAGAAACCTCTTCCGCGAGAATGTATAATGTTAAATTCCCGGTTTATTTGGTTTATAATTTCTCCTTTACTTTCTTCTAAACCTATGTTTTTAAATATTAAATTATCAGAAAAGTTAAAGAAAATTTAGATAAAGCCTTACCTTGATTTATTCTAGTAGCCTCTTTGACAGTGAACTCAATAGTTGTTCCAACGCCTTCCTCCGATTTCAGGATAATCTTGCCTCCCAGCAAGGTCACAAGTTTGTGCGTGATTGTGAGTCCAAGACCTGTTCCTTTCAAATTTAAAGTCTCTTTGTGCTTGCTGACTGTGCCAAAGAGTTTGAACAGGTTCTTCTGGTCTTCTTCCGATATCCCCACTCCGGTGTCACTGACTTGGAATTTGAGGCCGGACTTACCATCATTCTCCAGACTTTTGAAAGGAGTAATCATCACTCGGATGGACCCGTTTGATGTGAACTTGAGCGAGTTCGAGACCAGGTTCATCAGGGCCTGCCTGATCCTGGACAGATCACTGTAGAACTCGAAGTCTCGAGTCTCTTGGTCTCAGAACACCTCAAAGCGGAGGCCTTTGGTCTCACACTGCACTCGGAAGATGTAGCTGAGTTCGTCGATCAGGGTTTTTACACAGAATGTTTCAGAACTGAGACTGAACACTCCTGCTTCAATCTTTGCAAAGTCGAGAACGTCTTCAACCAAGTTCTCGAGCACTTTGGCAGAGATGGTGCCCACCTTCAAGAACTTGCTGCAAGAGTGAAATCATTCATCAAGGCTTGCTTTCTCGGTTGGGGGAACCTGAAATTTTCAAATCTGGTCATTTAAGTTTCCGAGGTGTACTCCGAGCAACTTCAGCGTGTTTGCAAAAGAGTTCAGTGGAGTTCTGAACTCGTGGGACACGCTCGAGAACATGATGTGCATGCACTGGTTGGTGGCCTTCTGCTTCTCCAGCTCCTTGAGCGAAGTAATGTCTGAGACCACATGCAAGTAGGCTCTGTCGCACTTGTCCCAGTTCACAGGGATCGACTTCAGCGTGTACACGAAGCTGGTCTGTAGACTGGCGTGAGTGTTGTCGGCAACCTCGACCTGGATCTGCTTGCTCACCGGAGCCTGGGTCCTGTCAATTTCGTGCTGGATTTGGTCGAGAATCCTGCCTATCTTGATAGCTGGCTGGTCGAACTCGGAGGCATCCAGACTCAAGTCTCATTTCGGAGACTCTTTGCACCGAAGCTTGATGCGACTGGTCGGAGTGTCTTCGAGAGGCTGGTTCTCAAACAGCTGTTCTTGGGCCTTCTCGTTGGCATATTTGATTGTGGGTTTACCATTTTTGAAAGAACTGATGAGGACACCTTCGGGGAGAACCTGCAGAATATATTTTATAGTTTGAGAGAGCTCTTGATTCTGATAAATAAGCTCGATTTGGCTTTTAAAGATGTAGGAAATAAACATAGAGATTCCAAGGAACATAAAAACTCAAAATATGATGACTGTGATCAAAGGTCCATTTATTTTCCCAAAATTCAGATAAACCATTAGCAGAAATTCACACTGGACAAGGATGAATGGAATTATAATTCATATTGGATGGAATCAGTAACATAATGAAAAGGCAAGCGCTTCCATATACCAGATAATCCACATTTCATAGATCTTGAATTCTTCAAAAAGACAGTTTTCAATAATGAGAGCGTTTCCAACTAAAAATAGAAGTCATGGGAGGAAGTAATGGACAGCTTTCTTGAGTCGAGTCTCGACTAGCTTTACAACATTGACCAGACCTGTGAAAAATATGCTGAAACAGAAATGGATCTGAAACCCTGGGTCTGACCAATCCTCCATAAATCAGCTTGCAAAGATTAGAAGTCCTAGTAGATGCTGCAACATGTATACCACATGCCATCCGAAGTTAAGATGGTCCTGATGTTTCTTGTGCATCATTTGTTGTAATTCTTCTTCAATCTTTGAGTTTGTAAAGCAAGGATAGTAACTTCTGAGATTTCATAGCCCAAATATAGCTTGAGTAACTCTTTTAACTAAACTTGTGACCTTGTCTTCCATATTCATAACTCCTGTTCCAGGAATATGAGGTTTATTATATAGATTCATTAATATTATTATCCAGTGGGGTTTTGGGGTTTTGGGGTTTTGGGGTTTTGGGG